TCTATTTGTTAAGAGACATGGAAATCCTCCAATTACCATTAACAAATTGATGTTCCAGTCTTCAACTTCAATTTGTGTAAGTAAAATATTATTGTGTTCCCTCAAGTCAAGCCAAGCCGAAAATGTTTACAAGTTGGAAGTGTGAATCACGATCTCCAAGAAGACTCAAATTTTGTCCCATGTTACAGATGTGAGAGGTCACTTTCCCAGTTCTTTCCTGCATGCATGCATCCGACCCCATGATTGATGATTCATTCACATAATGAAATTAAAATACCAAGATTTTTTCCTTTTTTAAATGAAAATTCATATAAACCATAACATTGATTTTTTACTATTTAATTTTTAATTTTTCCAAAGTTGAAAAATGTCCACGTTCAAATCCCCCTCCCCCCTCCCTCTCTCATACTATCCCACAAACAACATGAGCAAGCAACCACTTCCTTTAGAATGACTTTTCGAAGAAGTGCAGGATAATGGTTATCAAGAAAAACAGAGGACTTGACGATAATGCCTCTCTTTGTATAATTTTCGGAAAATTGATGTGACTTTTGACCCCAAAAAGTCAGATTTGAGTCGACACCTGCTAAATTTGTGGATGCTTGTCTACTTTTGGCTTTTGCACCGAACGACCAAGTGGCCGGCCAACACCACCTCTGTGTGCAAGCCAGGCAGCAACTGCAATGCAAACAACATTTTTGGGATAACGCCAATATGTAGTTACAAGGTCAGTATTATCATTATGCCATTAGCTATCAGAAGTCTCTCAAAAGAATGTTAACAAGAAAACTAAGGCAAGTAATTTAGAGGTATGGCCAATGCAAAGTTTTCTCGTGTATCAGCATTTTACTTGTAGTACATGAAGTCAATGCTGAAGATAAAAAACCCAGCCATCTGCAAAAAGTGAAACCAAACAAACATTTATCGAGAGGTAAGTGCAGATTTATCGACAGATAAGATCACAAGAGAGAGAGAGAGAGAGAGAGAGAGAGAGAGAGTACTGTAGTAAACGAAGCTCCATAATACGGGAAAGCGGTGGTTATAAATCGTTCATATTCATTATGCTGGAAAGGCCGTACAGGGATCTGAAATTTGAATTTTCCATAGAGGTAACATGAGAAGAACAATCTTGTTATAACAAGAATAGACTAGTTTTAAAATCTTATAAGGTTTCCCTAATTAGCAGTTGAGCACCATAACTACCCCCCACAACAAACAAGGGACAGTTTCGAACTGTCATGTTTTTGACATCATATTATCTTATTATATCAGACAATTGCCATTTAACTGCCCAACTATTTGATCCTTCTTTCATGGGAGCTCACAAATTTACAGTCATTGATTTACTCTCTTTTTTTGGGGTAAACAATTAATGAAGGAAACTAGAGCTCTCATACAATATGATCAAGTTAGTAGTGGACAAACAGATCATAAAATTTATAAAGCCATAACAACAATCAAACTGCTTTGTTAATGAAAGGTGTCTAAACCAAAAGCTGACCTGTTTGGAAAGGGATAAGCTAGTGTACCCAAGCCTGTTATACTCAACCTTAAACTGGAAAACCCCATAAACGTCAGGGACCTTGAATGACGTATGGTACAGTCCCTGAAAAATCAAATATGCATGTAAACAAAGATGTTCTAGATTTCGTAAATCAAGTCCAAACATGGTCTTGGGATAAGAATACCTTCTGATCAGTTGCCAGAGTTTTTAGCACATAAGGGCTCATCATGAAGAACTGCACTTGAACATCACCAGCCACATATGGTTCCCAGCTCTTTCCAGACCACTCATATATCTCAATGGAATAATCCTGCAAATACAAAAGACTAAATGATTCCAGTGCATTCCCTCTGTTTAGAAATTCAGCAAATATATATACATATATGTATATAGATGATAGCTGTGTTGAGGGCATTACCAGATCATCATTAATTCTATAGATTGCAGGTTCATCAGTTTCTCCAACTTTGTGGTGTCTAACATTGACAGCCTGAAAATAAAGGTCATGAATTAACACAGAAAAGACAATGCACAAGGATAAATGATAAACAAATACCTAAACATATCAAGTATAAATTGGAAGTAAATGCATTGATAACTGTAATATCACAGATTCAAAGCCTCATTTAACTTTTAGAGCTCAAAACTGATGCAAACCATAAATACTAGTAATAGTTCACGATATATAATGAACCTCACCTTTAGATGTCCCCTTTCATGGAAGATCCATTTGCTAAGTTCAGTCACAAACTGTTCATTACCAGACTTTTCATATCTGTCATCAAAAGTTTCAGGATAACGTGAATTTTTTGCCTTGATCAAGCCACTTTGGAATGAGTATCAAACCATTTTCAGCACAAACAAAAGGACAGGTTACATATGAGTCCATGAGAATGAAAGAGAGAATACAAAAGTATTCAATGGAAGCTTCCCGGAGTCTTCAGCACTTAAGATTACATAGATTCTGTCTTTCTTTGAAAAAAGAATCTAAATTGCAAGTAGGTTTGCCGTGTGCTCAACTATATGTAGGTAATAAGTATGAAAGCAGCATATAACCAAAAGATAATGGGATAAGTAATGAAAAGCAGCAATTTAAAGATTTTACTCACTTCCTTGAGCTCCCAGCCTTCTGCACAGCTGATTTGAACAATCTGAATCACAAGCAGAAATCAGAAGTAAATCCTATAAACGAAAAACAATTAAGGACAGATAAACCACCAGTGATAAATGAATCCATATAACCAATTAGATACATACTGGTTGCTAAACATATCTACAGAGCCTGAGATCAAAATCCGAGCATTGTTTCTAGCCTGCAATTTAAGATTTCAAAATGACTCCATCAAGTTCAACCAATGTGGCAGGTGATGGTGTGAAAAGGAACATAAAGAAAATGTCCCAATTGCTCACAAAAGACTTTCGCATTGTGTTTCAGAGATGGAAGCAAGCTTAGGTGGAGGTTCATATAATAGACAAACATTGTTTCCAGAACACAGAAAGAACTTACTTGCAGAACAGAAACTAATGAAATAGCAGATCCAGTGAGTGATGGAGGATAGGACAATTTGGCATTTGGGTTAGCAGAATATGCTGAAGGAGATGCTGAAAGAACTTTTAAAACCTACGATTATACCATAGACCACAGAAAGAAATAATCCGTTATCTCAACGCCATTTAAAACCCACTGAAGAGGTCATAAGCAAAAGAGTTCAGAACTTCAAATGCAGATTGGAGCTTACCAAGCTATTAGAAGCACTTAACGAATGTGCAATCCCTTTGAAAAGTACAGGGGCCTGTCGCGTAGAATGATAATATATAAGACATTTTAAAATATGAACATTGAAGTGATCGATACCATTTTTGCATAATGATATTGAATAATAATCTAAAACACAATGCAAAGTACTGAAATCAGAGAGCAAGAAGTTTATAACTATTAACACATTTACCACGTTAGATTTAAGCAATGTGGGCATATGTAGCAACAAATTATCCAGTAAGAAAATATGTTTATGAAACTTAAACCGACCTCGATCTTATTCTTTCCCAGAATCACATCAGATTGAATAAAGTCATCGCTGGCAATCAATGTATGGTCCCCTTGGGTCCCCAACACTGCGTAATTGTTGTGGTCGATAACCACAGCTGATGGATCCTGCACGAAATCAAAACCATATTCATCAATGACATTACTTTCTACCTTCCATTCATCTAAATTGACCAAATTATGAACAATACAGCAAACCTCATCGAAATCGACCCCGCATTGCCTTGAAATACTGCGAACCAAATCAGATGCAGAGGCACCAGCTGCCAAGATCAAGTCGTGCCCAGAGTCAACGAAATCAAGCACAGCCTGAAAATCCAGAGCTCCTCCAAACTCTTAAAACCCAAATAAATAAATAAAATCAGATTTCATTGCAAGGAATTAACCAAAATGTGTCATTCTTAGGAGTTTCTGATTGATGAACTTACGGTGGGCGGTAGGAGAGAAGAGAACGAGGCCGTCGTACAAGTACTGGTTATAGCGCTGGAGCGAGAGGGTGGGATCGTCGGCCAGCTTGAAGTCGAGATCGAAGCCGCGGGAGATGAGAGAGTGGAAGAAGATGGAGTGAGAGGATTGGAGAGAGAGGTCGTCGAGGAGGACTAGGAGGCGCCGATTGGTTGGGGCTTCGGGAGAGAATGAGTGGCAGAGCAAGGGGAGGAGTGAGATTAAGGTGACTAAGACGGAGAGGCTCGGCATTGTTGGTCTCTGTTCTCTGAGCTCTGTGGTGGTTGGTTAGGGTTTTGCAGAGATGGGTACTGCAGTGCTGACCGTTGAAGACAGGTTTTGGCGCAAGGACTTCGTTCGTTCATCTGCGCGTGTCGTGTTCATTTCCAGTGTGGAATGCACACACGTGCGAATTTTACTTCACTACCTACAAAATAATATTTTTGAATATTTTGGAAACCATTTATATATACAAGTGTAGGTTTAAAGGAAAAGGGATTGATTATATCATAAATAATGGTGATTAGATAAAAAAGAAAAGTGTATTAGTATATTGAAAACTAGTATGTAAAATTCATGTAGCTCAAATGGTTACGAACAATTACTTTGTATTTGAGGTACTGAGAAAACTAATACTAAAATACTTAATAAAGCTTCAAAATTAAGCATAAACTAAACTGAATTGGTATGGTAATCAATAAGGAGAGATAATTCATCATTCTACCACGAAAGTAAGGGGTAAGAAGATGTTAGTAACTTGACCTACTGTAAACGTTACATTCTACCACTGAAGCTACAAGCCCACAACATTCATACATATTTTAATTACGTAATTCCAAGTATTTTATTTCAAGCATGATTTTTGGAAGACTAATTTTACCAATTGGGCCTTCATCCCTGGCTTCAACAAGTTTGGGCCAACAAGTTTCCTTTAAAAAACAATTAAAAACAACAACAAAAAAGAAGTCTAATTCTAAACATGACAAGTAAGCATTGCCGAGTTTCAAACTTGTTTCCTTATCATCTCTCTCAGAAAAGAAATAGCGTACAAATAAAGCAGCACGACTAGTTTGTCCCCACACCGACGCATCTCTCTATCCCAATAAATCAAAGACATAAACCCCAGAGACGCTTAATTGGATAAGTTCCCCAAAACCCCAAAACGACAGGTCGTTCTATTTCCAAATCCGTCTCTCTTTCCTCACTTTCCTACTCATCCACCACACCCTCTCCTTTGCAAGCTTCTTCTCAACCAGGTCAGCATCTACACATCGTAATAATAATATATACATATAAAAGTATATGTATCTGTCTCCAAGTCTATTTCTTTCCTTTGCCTAGTTAGATTTTCCAGGAATTCCATTCAGGTGCTTAAACGACTGAACTTTTTTCTGCCCTAACCCGTATTTTGTTTTTTTGTTACTTTTGTATGATTTATTATTCTACCACTTGGGTTTTGGCATCTGATTGGATAATTGTGTTTGTAAACTTGGGGAGTTTATTGGGTTTTAGCTTTTTGAGAGCAAGATTTGATTTTTTTTTGTCTCCCTGTAACTGTTTAAGAAATTTGTTAGTGGCTTCACTTCTCCTTTTCTTGTTAATATGACTTCATATTTCATTTCTTCTTTTTATATGATGGACTTGTCTTTATTTGAAAAGGCATTACTATTGTGAGGATTTTGTTACTGTTTGATCACTTTGAGATTATTGTTATGGTGATTAAAGATGAGATTGTAATTTGTTGGAGAATATCATCCTTAATTTCATGATTTTGAGTATAAAGCTGTCAGTGAATGGACAATTGTATTGCCATTTAGCCTGATAGGACCTCAAAAGAAAAAAAAAACAAAACAAAACAAAAAGAAAAGCAAAGAAGATGAATTAAAGGACCATTCACCAGTGAATATTGAGGTTTCCTGACTTGTTTTTTTTGGTTGGTGTGTACTAAATTTGATTTTCATTTGGTTATTTTTGACTTCATGTTCCACAAGAAAAAATTGGCCTGCTTGGCATATCTTCTATAGTTCTGTTTAGATTGATTCACCCCTTACTTTGGTCTTCTTGTGTGTGCAGATTCTATGTCATTGTTTTTCCATGTCACAGATTCTTTGTCTCACGATCTTTTTTTGTTTTCAAGCTACCAGTGTGATTGTTGTTATTAGCACAAAAATATAACCCCTTTAGGCCCTCTAGGATAATTGTTTATTTTTTTTATTTTCAGGAGATATGATTAGGCTATTCAAAGTAAAGGAGAAGCAGAGAGAACTTGCAGAAAATGCCAATGGAGCATCACATGTTAAGAAGCAATCTGCTGGGGAATTACGTCTTCATAAAGGTTTTCCATCTCTCTAATTATCATATCCTTTGATTTATTTGAAGCTCTTACTTTTTCAATATTCTTCTAGCTTTTGCATGCCCTTCATTTCTGATTCCAGAAAGAGTTTGTTGATTGATTAAAGCAATATGGATCAGACCAGTTAGATGGTTTCTATAATATTGACAGTTGTATTTGTTTTTGGGTTGAGTGGTTTTTGAATGATGATATAGAACATCCTTCTTGGTCCTTGGTTACGCAATAAGAATTATTTAAAGGGTTCTCAGGTTGGTGGGGCTTTGAAGAAAATTTAGAAAATAACAGTTTTTAGCAAATGGATTAACCCCCTGGACCGCTTAATGTGTATCTTTTTGTTCATCAAGTTGAGATAAGTTTATGCTGAGTACAGAGTCATTATCCAATTGAAATTTTTAGCATTCTTGATTGCATATTTAAATGTTGGTGCTACAATAAGTCATTATCCAAAAATGCTATAATTTGGTTAAGGAGGCAGGTTTTAAACTGCTTCTCTTGCTGAATTATTTTTACTGGTTTTTTTGGACTATGCTTGGAGTTTTATTGTTTCACTAAATTTGACCATCCATTCGTTTAAAAAAATATATTATTTGTTGTGGCATCTGATGCAGATATATCTGAGCTGAATCTACCAAAATCTTGTAACATTTGTTTTCCTAATGGCAAGGATGAGCTGATGAACTTTGAGGTTACAATTCGTCCAGATGAAGGCTTTTACTCGTAAGGATTTTTTCTACTCTTTGTGTGCAAAAGTTTCTTCAAACAAAGGTTTTGTCACAACTGCACATACTAATTTTAGACACGTATCCTTTGTCAGAGAAGCTGGGTTACTTTTTTGTTTTCCACACACATACACATGCATATCACTCACACCAATATGTCTACCAATATACTTGTGTGCGAGGATTTTCAATTGCAAGACACTGCAGCCATTGTTTTCTATGTAATGAAGTCAACACGAACACAAGCAATGGTGTTGAGGGTTATCATATTGTTGTTTCTTAGCAGGAATATATATATTTTTTAAACCTCGTGTAAAATTAGCATAATGATTAGTTTTCTAAGTTCTCTTCCATTTCTTGTTCCAGAGGTGGTACATTTTCGTTTACTTTCCAAGTTGCCCCTATCTATCCACATGAGGCACCAAAAGTCAAGTGTAAGACCAAGGTAGGCTTATGCATCATATATGTTTCACTGTTTCTTGTTTAACTTAAATCATGTCTTCTCTTTTATTTGATCGCTTATATGATCCATTGTCTCTACATCGTACAACCCACTGACAGGTCTACCATCCTAATATTGACTTGGAAGGGAATGTCTGCCTCAACATCCTACGAGAAGATTGGAAACCTGTCCTTAATATAAACACTGTCATCTATGGATTGTATCATCTTTTCACGGTAACATCTTGATAGTCCTCTGTGATTTGTTGCTATTTGGTATCTGAATGTTGCTTATTTTTCTCTTTAATTTTGTTTGCAGGAACCAAATTATGAAGATCCCCTAAATCACGATGCAGCTGCAGTGTTGAGAGATAATCCTAAGATGTTCGAGTCTAATGTAAGAAGGGCTATGGCTGGTGGGTATGTGGGGCAAACCCTCTTCCCAAGGTGCATATAGCTATTGTTTGGTAGCACCAAAGTGTCAATTGACATATTATCAATGCTTGAAATGCAAGTGGGGTTGTAATATTTGTTCGCAGATTGCATTTTCTTTGTTCTTTTTTTTCCTTTTTTTTTTTTATCTTTTAATTTCATCAATGGAGTTGGGCGCTTTAAAATGTATGTCACTGTAACTTTTGGGATGCTTTGTATCTTGATGTGTAATAAGGATAGGTTGGACACAATGCATCTCTCTCTCTCTCTCTCTCTCTCTCTCTCTCTCTCTCTCTCTCTCTCTCTCTCTCTCTCTCTCTCTCTCTCTCTCTCTCTCTCTCTCTCTCTCTCTCTCTCTCTCTCTCTCTCTCTCTCTCTCTCTCTCTCTCTCTCTCTCTCTCTCTCTCTCTCTCTCTCTCTCTCTCTCTCTCTCTCTCTCTCTCTCTCTCTCTCTCTCTCTCTCTCTCTCTCTCTCTCTCTCTCTCTCTCTCTCTCTCTCTCTCTCTCTCTCTCTCTCTCTCTCTCTCTCTCTCTCTCTCTCTCTCTCTCTCTCTCTCTCTCTCTCTCTCTCTCTCTCTCTCTCTCTCTCTCTCTCTCTCTCTCTCTCTCTCTCTCTCTCTCTCTCTCTCTCTCTCTCTCTCTCTCTCTCTCTCTCTCTCTCTCTCTCTCTCTCTCTCTCTCTCTCTCTCTCTCTCTCTCTCTCTCTCTCTCTCTCTCTCTCTCTCTCTCTCTCTCTCTCTCTCTCTCTCTCTCTCTCTCTCTCTCATACAAAAGTAAGTTTGATTCTTTCCTGATGAGCCTTTCAGATGTGTCATGAACTATTCATGGCATGCTAAACCATTCCAAATATGCAAGACATTGGTTCCATTGAACATAATCACTCCAAAAAGTGGCCTAACCATTAAAGAATCACAAAATTTAGTGTGCAAACAAAATTAGCTTTGGTATCAGAAGTCTTTTAGTATCGAAATTAAAGCGTGGCTTCTCAAACTAGTCACCATATTGCAGCTGAAGGCAAGAGTAGGAGAAGACTTGGAGGACCAGAATCTCCAGAAATGCCGTAGGCTTGGAGAAGCCGCATAATACTTCTCACTTTTAGTATCATTGATTGCTCCTTCAAACTAAGAATGACTTCTCACCTCATCTCTTCCTCTTTCACACTGGCCATTCTAGCATTTTCACGGTCCTTCCTGAAAAACAAATACAATGGCGTATAAAACAAGCAACACAAGCCAAATGGAACAGCCATCATTGAAAGAAGCCCTTGAGATAATGCAAAGGCCTCCCGGGTAGACCCTTTAATCGGATCCACTGATTTTGCATCGTAACCAAACATCTTCTCTGAAAGAATTCCGACCAAGGGAGCTGCAAAAGAAGAGAATGATCCTTCGAAAGCACGATCAAAGGCGTAAATCATGGTTCGGTGTTTGACAGGGACAACCTCAGCAAACATAGGACCATTTGCAGCAGTAGCATTCCAGCTGATAGTGAGACCCATCAGCAAGAGAGTGACAGCAAAGGTGTAATAGCTGCTTACTGACTGTGGAATGACTTTAAGTAAGAACCATGAGAAGGGGATGCCCATGAAGGCGCTGAACTGAGCACACATGATGCGGCCTGAGTGCGGGTAGATTCGTGACATTCGATCTGCTATTAGTCCTCCAAGAAGAGAACCCATAGCACAGCCAACAGCAAAAAGACTAAGGAGGGCTGCTGTGCTGTTGTGATCAAAACCTGCAAAATGGAATTAGAAGACATCATATGTCATGAAAGTAGAAGTTTGAAAATTCGAAGCTCAGAAACAAAAAGGAGGGCAGAAAAGATAATCAGCAATTGTTTCATTGAAGTATGGAATTTGCGGTAGTGCTTACCGATCAATTCAAACCACATAGTGAAGAACACCATGGCAGTCCATGGTAGTGAACCAACAATACCCTGCAAAACAATTATTTGGAACGTTTGCACTTTAACAACTGCTTTCATGGCCGTCCAAGACTCGAGCCAAACTGATGCTGCACTTGTAGGGCCCTTAATTATCAAATCTTCCCTGCAGCATAAGGTAACCAAATCACCATATATTGATGAATTCTTTCTCCATTCACAAACCAAAGTCACCACATCTATAACTTGTTAAAGAATTTGAAAGCTGATATAATAGACAACAAATTTAAAATGTATGATGAAATAATTGCCCCGTACCTATCAGAACTATGGTCAGTACCATGAGTGAAATTAACTGTTTTTCTTGGGTCAACCACAAACAAGAGAACAAGGAACCCAATTAGTGAACTTAGTGATGCCATCAGAATGAAAGCACAGCGCCATCCTGGTACATTCCAGTAGTGTTCACCAGCCATAAGTGTGGCCAGAACACCACCTCCAATGCCACCCAAGGAACCAACAAGGCTCACCATCCCAAATCCAGCCCCTCTCACTCCATCCTTATAGCTATCAGCAATAAAAGACTGAAGTGCTGGTATAACAATTGCCAATCCAAAACCATTCACTGCTCTCCAGAACGCAACTTCAGCGAAAAGCCGGCTTGCACCAACTGCAGCAGTTGACAAGGCCCAGCAAAAAGTCCCCATTGCCAGAACTGTAGGGCGATCATAATTAATAACTAGCACACCTGCAAGGGGTGATGCCATTCCCTGCACAAAGTTCCTAATGAAAGTGAGATAGCCCAGGTCAGATGGCCCAGCATTGAAAGCCTCACTCACTTCTTTGTAAACTGAGGGGAGGAGATTTTCATCTGCACGCTCCATTATAGCAGCAAAGTTGATAAGAATGAGGGACAGAGAAATCCCAAATATCTTTCTCGTTCTGTGAAAGAAAGGGTTACATATGATCAAAGGATATAGAAAGCGGCTACATGGAAAGCATAATTCTTGAGTAAACTTTCATCAGCCACACAAGCATATACATCAGAAATTCTATTCAATCCAAATTTCAAAGTGGATCAGAAATATGCAGGATGGTTTTCCGAAACAATCATATTAATTAATCATCTCTATAGACTATCATGTGTTGACAATCCCTTTAATGGTTTATATTTGGACATGTAACTTTGAAACAATGTACAGTTTGAGAAATTAGTAACACCACAGATAGGAGCTTAGCCACATTGTGAGGAAAAACATTATTGCTAGAGATATTTTGATTGCTATGAAGGTTTTCCTAAAAGGGTAAACCAAGTCAGCTGCTTTGAATAGCCTTAGAGGGAGAGGGACCAATCAATTAATGAACTCTCAATCTGAAAACTCAGCAAAACACATTCCACAACCAATGAATTCAAAGCAACAAAGCCGTGAGAATGAACCAATTTATAGTAAAAAGAAGAAAGAAAAAGATGCCAAGTCATATACACGAGAAAATTCCAAACTTTTCAAAACTATCACTAAAAATTGACATTTAAAGTAAAAAGGGAAAGGCAATTGCTTCAGACATCAAGAACCCAATAGCACGAGCAAATTTTTCTACCAAAATAATTTTTTATACAAACAAACACACTGAGCCACTGACAAAACAGACACATATGCATGACCCATGAATCCCAGAAAAGGAAAAAAAAAACACTTCCAGAAACTGAGGAACGACAACATGGGAAGAATCAAAGAAACGATGGGGACTGTAACTCACCTCATGGCTTGCAAACTTGTGAAAAAACCAGGTTTCGATCGAGAAGAAGTAGATGTGAAGCCCCGTTTAAGGCCCATAAACCCGAACCAAAGAAAGAGTTAAGAACCCACCAGCCCAAAGAAACCGGGAAGGACAAGTCCTCTGCATCTGTGGCGGATCTGAGACACAACACAATCTGACCTCCCACGGTCTCGTCACCAAATTTCCAAACGAATATTCAAAGATTGTCGTCATGGTATCGAGTTATTTACAATCGGATTTATCGGATTTGATTTGATTATATCTTTTATTTATGGTCGTTTTCAAAACATGCGCATCTCCAATTGTTATTGTTTATTGACTTCCATGCACAACGCGGGGTTCGATTTCGTCCGTTCGATACGATGATCCAAGACTGACGTGGAACCTGCACAAACGGCTGCGTCTCTTTTTTTTGTCTTTTATTTATTTCATTTTTGGGTGCACTTCTGACGTGTAACCATGATTTCGGGCCTGTTTTATTTTATTTTATTTTATTTTCGGGCCTGTTTAGAGTGTTTTTAGCATTAAATAAGGGAATATTTAAAATACGGCCTGTTTAGAGATGGGCCGTCCTCTAAAATTTCAGACTGTTATATCACATTTGGGCCAAAATCGAATTGAAACTCAATCAAGATTTTCTTCTGTCTTTTTGACACAAGCGCTAGACTCACGGAGATTTGAACACATGAATTCGGACACATGAATTCAGGTGCAGGGTAACTAGTCTTGCCCAGACTTTCTTCTATTTCCCTTTTTTTAAAAAAAAAAAATTAAAATAATAATAATGAAGGCAATATTCTATTAATAATAGGGACTCTATCATATTATGCTGCACGTAATTGTCTTTTTAGAAAATTAAAAACATTGGGTGGTTCGCAATAATACTAAAGGCAAAGAGCACGTGGGGCTCTTGTCCGAAGTCATTGTCGGATTACCAAAGACCACATCAAAATGATTAAACTTTGTTCTGTATATAGGCAATGCATGAACAATGTTTTTGGAACAATAATTTAACGACATTATTATTTTGTCAAAGAAAAAATAGATATTTAGTTATATATTCATTTTTAGCATTAATAATATAAATAAATCATACACCATTTAATTTCTATAAACAAACAAAAAAAAAACTCAAAAAATGACAGCTGGCACTATTGAGTTTAATTTTGATTATTAAATTACTTTGATGACCTATTGAGTGTTTTGAGTTTTTTCATAAGGTTTTGGGGTTGGGTTTGTTTTAAGAAATCAATAGCAGTTTTGTAATTTAAAAGAAGTTAAAAAGCCTTTTTGTTATATAGGGTTTTTTTATAATTTGAGCTCCTATATTGGATATAATAGTGAATCTCCCGAAAAAAAAAACGCAAACTATCAATAAAAATAATTGATTAATTGGGTTTTTTGTTTCAATGTGTGATTAATTTGAAACCATTACAATAATTTTTTTTTTTTTATTTTAAGTTATATGCATATTGCATACGAACGTATGAATCATGATGACAGAGTACAAGTCACCTTGTGCATTGAAGTTAGGGAATAATTATGGTTATAATTATGAAAGCAGAATTGCACTTTGGAATAATTAAGACTGGATTATAAAAGTGTTTAATTATAATTAATTGGGAAATGGTTGGGCTTAATGGACCCCCACGTGGTCTCTTGGACCAATGAAGAAGACCAATAAGATTACTTACTTTCTAGGAAAACGAAGATACACGGGCATTGGTCCCCGCCAAAACGGCACCGCACGGCTCTCTGTCCCCCGCACGTGTGCCAAGTCTTGTTGCCTTCACGCCTCACGACTTGACTTGGCCAGCTTAGCTTGGCGGTCGGTCGGTCGCTTTCCCTCTCAAAAACCTTAGCTGGATCCGCACGTGCTCCTTGTAATTAATTGAGATTTAAGAGCTAATTAATAATACCATACAAATATTAATGCATATTAAAAGCGTATTTGTTGTTCTTAATGCATTTCGTGACATCTTCATTTGTTGCACGTATTTCCAAATAGTTGAGCAACAACAATTGACCATTCGTTGAATGGCCATTCAGTGCTGTTGTCTATTTTGCTTCTTTTAGTGTATGATTCTTGCTAATTATTTGTGGACAATCAAAAATATATATTCTACTTTTTCTCCTGTGAAAAAGTATAATTGTTGATTTTCTGAAATTGATTCTCAAGTAAATGTTTCTAATTTAGTTAGCGTGATCAAACAAGTTGTTCTTTAAATCCTATAATTAAAGTGTGTTGTATCGAGTAGAAATGCTTGAATAACTAATCAATGGAATATGTGAAGTCAAAGAGTGTATGAGAATGAGAGTTTTGATTTGTGAATCATATATATAGTAGGTGGATGTTAAACCTAAGGATTGATATATGACTATAATTTTTTTGAATAATTACTATGTTGAGTTAATCTGTATCATTCTCTAATATTACAATTCTACATCATTCTTAAAAAATCTCTTTTCTATATGTCAAACTTTTAGTTAAATATCGATCGAGAATGGTTCATACACACATGTACGTGCACCCCTTTACTTCAAATTAGTGGTCAATTCAGTCCGCTTAAATTCAGACAATCAACGCTAAGCTCATACTTAAGATCTTTGTTCTAATTTCACATCTTCCTTAAAGCGGTTGTCAAAATGGACTTAACACCATTCTTATATGAAGCTCAACTCTAGGGCATTTACCCCAACACCACCTAAATTCTTAGAGAAATTGATAATTAGATTAGGAAAGCCCTAAGAATTTCTGCTAAGCTTTACTTATTACATCCGTCCATATATATAGTAGCATAAATTTATTAAAAGATTCACGTCAATCAAATATTGGAGGAAAATTACCAAAAAAATAAAAATCGGTGGTGGGAGCCACATTCACGTGTAGAACCAATGGTGGACACGTTAAAGGTGGTAGTGGTCCTTGTAGACGGATGGGGTGGTAGTGGGGTTGCTTGAATTTTCTTTGTATATAGGGTTTTGTGTCGCACGTGTGGAGCCGACTGACACTGCAAAAGTACCATCCAGTCCAACATGATTTGGAGGCTATTAAGAGGCGTGGGCCCTACACTTTTTTTGTTCTGAATTCTGAGCTCTTTGTTTGTCCGTATCTGTACCGTTCAAACTGAACATCACGTCAGAGCAACCCCGAATACCGGAGCTACAGAGAGAGAGAGAGAGAGAGAGATAGAGGAGCATCTTCTATTTGAAAAATACATAAATATTTAGAATTTACATATTAAAGCTAAATACTTAATAGCATTCACAGTGGGTGTATTTTCGGGGGTGTAAAGCCATTTTGACATTCCTTTATGCTTTTAGAGGGTGTAAATATATTTGTTGCTCCAATAAAAAACAATGTAAATCCAAAGATGCATATGTGTATTTTCGGGGGTGTAAAGCCACTTTGACATTCCTTTATGCTTTTAGAGGGTGTAAATATATTTGTTGCTCCAATAAAAAACAATGTAAATCCAAAGATGCATATTCGATTTGTTTGTGGTAATTCATTTTTGTGTTTTTTTTATTTCTGTTTTATCTTTTTAAAATTAATTTTGTATGTGTTAGATTTATTTTATTTTTCCAAATAAATGGACCTAAAAAAATTTAAATTTGAAGAACATATGATCTTACCTACAAACTAACATAAAAATATCTATGTAGAAATTTATAATTTATTTTAAACATTTTAAGGTATTTTTTCTAATATTTTAGACCATTAGAAGTGCAATGCAAATTGCATAAAATCTGGGCTTTCCATTTTGAATTCCAATCCTTCTTTTTCTCTTTTTCTTTTGTGGGTCTCGCCTGCAAATTGTGGAGGCTATGTACTTAAATTAACAAGCTTTCTATTATGTATCCAAAATAACATGAGGATATAAATAAGAGTCTAGAAAAATAGAGGGGCGAAGGCCACCCTTATGTGCTCACCTAATCCCCTTAATGTGTGTCTACTTTTTGTATTTGGTCCTCCATTCTAATAATATAATATCATTTTTTCTCGGTCCAAATTTGCGACAATTGAGAATTAGCAAAGAAAGGTGCTGATAATATTTGAGGAGTGAATTTGAGAAGTATCGATAATATACTTAATATGGTATTTTCTGTTAGTATTAGTAGACGTTTTTTATTATGCATAAAATCTCAAGGAATTAAATAAATGAAAAAGAAAAAATAGAGGTGCATAAAACAGTTGGAGAATAGAAACCCTAGTAGTACCTAACTAATCTACGTCAGTTTGCTAATATCATTGAAACCATCCGGCAATAATCACTTGCCCGGTTTTAGAAATGAAACTACAGTGTTTTCTGATACGGTAGGAAGGAATACAGTGTTTTTCTAGCCCCGAATGAACACAAACATTTGACTGGTCTTATTTTTGTGTGGCTGTGATTTGCTGGATCTTAACGTGACTCACCTTTTTCTTTTGCTTTTTCCATTTTTTTATGATTTTATAGGAAAATATTTGCTTCATTCATGAACTCATACTTTCTTGCAAATCAGACTTCAACGTATATGTATAAACTCTTCACTCTCCTTTTTTGTGTTTTTGAGAAATTATTTTGCTTATGATATGTGTCAAACTATATTTTGCACAAGGAAGCAAATAATATCCAATAAAAAGTGAAAACTCACATCACCAAATATTTAGATTAGTCCCGAATACTTGTAGTCATCCACAAATCGTATGTCTTAAATAAATTTGAATACACCAACTAGCTCTTAGTCTAGTGATACTTCTCTTCCCAATATTGAAAGATGTCTTAAATCGAAACTCCCAACACTCATTGATAAAATAATAATAAAAATAATAACTACTTATAGGTCGCTCGTGAGAATCTACAAACTTACGACATTTGAGTTTACCACTTACATTCTTACATTTTTTTTTTCTGCTTATGTTTGGGCTTATTTCAATCGAGCTCAAAGATTTTCATTTCTTCCATAGACACAATATTTTGAGTGAACATAAATACCAATGTTCGAGCTTAAATTGTTAAGCCTCACAACAAGTTTTAGATTCTAGGAGAAATTAAACCCCATTTTAATCTCTAAACTCTAAGCAGGTGGTAAAACCTCAGAAATCTCATGGGCAGATAGATTGCAATTTGCATGATATGTGTGCATAGGGAGGGAAGAGAACAGATCGCGCATAGAAAAAAATAAAAAAATAAAAAAGGAATGGGAGTTGCATTTCTCCTCTTCATACAATAATACTCTCTTCGAATAAAGAAAGCACTTTCCTCGTGAGAGAGGCAGAAAAATAGTGCCCCTCTCTTCTCTTCTCTTCTCTTCTCTTCTCTTCCCACTGCTACACAACACAACACACCACACCTTCTCTCTTTCTCTCTCTCTTTCCCACAAGAAAATTGAGAGTCCAGAGAGAGAAAGCTCAAAGAGTAAGCAGGTGGGTGACCTGACCAGGAAAAGCTAAAATGACAGGGGGTGGGTCGTCGGGGAGGTTACCAACATGGAAAGAGAGGGAGAACAACAAGAGGAGGGAGAGGAGGAGAAGAGCCATTGCTGCTAAGATATACTCTGGTCTCAGAGCTCAAGGCAGCTACAAGCTTCCTAAGCACTGCGACAACAACGAGGTCTTGAAAGCTCTCTGTGCTGAAGCTGGCTGGGTCGTTGAAGAAGATGGCACCACATACCGCAAGGTTTGGATTTCTTGTCCTTGTTATTCAGATTCAGCTGAATCAGCTCTTTTTTAGATTGGGTTTTGCTTTTCGTGTTCATAGATCTGCATGCACATCATGTTGAATCTGTAAATCCTTGCCTTCTTGCTATACCCCTGTTGGGTTTTGATCTTGTTGGATCATCATTGGGGAAGAAGTTGAGCAATTTTTAATTGTTTGAAAGATTTTTATATTTTTTCGCAAATTAATCTGTTCCACTAAATGCCAAACCCCCCTTTGATTTTTGTTTTCTCTGTAATTGAATAATAGCACAGGCATGTTGCATATCTGTTTCTCTGTTCTGGTATTGATATGAGCTAGGATCTGGACTATAATGAAACGGTCTTTTCTCCTTTCGTCTCTCACTAGATTTTGTTACTTAAAAAAAAGGGATATGCATTTGCTATGATTTGTTGATAGTTAAGGATGAAAAGGTTGTGATTTGGTCCTGCAATTTTGTTTTTGATTTGTGGGTGAGATCTGTATCCAGCAGGTCATCAATTTACCCTGCTTCATATACTAATTTGTTGAAATCCAATTGTTATTTGAACAAAAGACCCTGATTATCCAAGCAGACTTTTTATTATTATTTAGCTTTCTGTTAATCCATTTCTTCATTCATATTGTACTTGTTTAATTTTTGTTTTAAATGTCTATTTTGGATACAGGGATGCAAGCCATCTCCAATGGAAATTGCAGGCACTCCAACAAATATGAGTGCATGTTCCTCTATTCAACAAAGCCCACAATCCTCAGCTTTCCCAAGTCCTGTGCCATCCTACCATGCCAGTCCATCCTCCTCTTCCTTCCCAAGCCCAACTCGTTTCGATGGAAACCCCTCCACTTACCTTCTTCCGTTCCTGCGTAACATAGCTTCCATTCCTACAAATCTTCCTCCTCTTAGAATATCCAATAGTGCGCCTGTAACTCCACCTCTTTCTTCTCCAACCTCTAGAGGTTCAAAGCGAAAACCTGACTGGGACTCCCTTACTAATGGCTGTCTAAACTCCTTGCGCCACCCTCTTTTCGCAGCCTCTGCCCCTTCAAGCCCTACACGTCGCCACCATCTTACACCTGCTACAATACCAGAATGTGATGAGTCCGATGCTTCCACTGTGGACTCCGGTCGTTGGGTCAGTTTCCAGACAGGGGCACCATCAGTAGCTCCACCTTCACCCACATTTAATCTTATGAAACCAGTGGCTGAGCAGAGTGTTCTTCAGAACACTATTAATGGGCATGGGGGAATGGCCTGGGGGAACACTACAGAGAGGGGACGAGGCTCAGAATTCGAGTTTGAGAGTGGCACACTGAAAGCTTGGGAGGGTGAGAGAATACATGAGGTAGGGGTGGATGATCTGGAGCTTACACTTGGAAATGGGAAGAACCATGTTTAAGCTTCCACAGGAAGGTTTAGCTTGAGGATGCGTATAACCAGGAGGGAAGATCTTAAGATGTTATCTGGATTTCACTGTGCATTTCTCAGTGGTAATTCGTTATCTTTGCAGCTGAGTAGCATTGCTTGGTGTCTACTTCGATTTCTGCCACAATTGGGAGACTTCAAAATCTTATTTGGTGCATCATGTATTTCGTTAAATGTACAGTTTACTCTCTCCTGGGGCTGTTACAGAATCAAATCCCCTATCGAATTTGTTGGTTAAAGAGCAATGTTTTGGGCACACTTCACAGAAGGCCTTCAATTCTGAAATCTTTCATGTGGAGAGGAAAGAGACAAGCAAGTTAAATTTGGGGGTGCCATCTTCTCTCAGTTATGTATGAAATATCTTCTTCAGTTCTTCATTGGTCATAGGCCCCTAATTAAGTTGTCATCAGTGGGATATAGTCTCTCCAGCTTGAAGCACATAGAATGCATCTTCTCTGGAGCACATACTCATTTGTAGACACTATTGGAGAATCACATTCTCAAATTTGTTAAAGGTAGTTATTATTAGATCTATCTTGTCAGAAAATAGTCTCTTTCTTTTTACCTCTAAGTACTGTATTAGCAATTCATGACATCAATCTTTCATTCCATGTCTAAAGTTCTTATTAGACCTTCATAACTCGAACCGGGAGTTGGGTGTTTCTAATTAAGCTCGTTTCGGATATTTTTAACTGGGGCTTTTAAAAGCTAGGTGTTTCTAATTAAGCTCGTTTTGGATATTTATAACTGAGGGTTTTAAAAGCTAGGTGTTTCTTTCAGTATTTCAGAGAAACAATGAACCATAAATTGGGAGGACAGTAGGGGCTAATGAGATCTGCAATAAGTTTGAATGTGATTTTCTTCTGTAGGGCCATGTCCTTGTGCCTGAAGGTTTTGATTTCTTATCCATTCATATGCAAGTCATACTTAGCTTCCCTGTAGTTTGTTGCCTTGTTGTGAGTTGTGAGTTGTGTGTGGGGGGTGGTCAAAAAAGCATCTTAGAACGAAACCTCCTAGAGGGCCCTTTGCCATGTGATATGTGCATCTTATGAATCCCATGTGACCTAAGCCACGCTTGATGTCTCAGTGTACCAACCAATCCAATAACTTTGCTTCCCAATTATTGGTGGATCTGCTTTTGACTGCATTGCTCCCTCAAGCAGCCCTGCAGTTCAATAATCGATATGAATCTGTTCATTTCCATCTTTTGCACCAGCAAGTTTTATTCATATAAATATTGACCCAAAAAAAAAAAAAATATTCATATGAAGAAAACCCAGTTAGAGGAATAGCAGAACAACACTTTTTGGGTTGGTCACTAAGATAATTGGCATGATAAAGAGCAGAGCTTCTAATTTCTTGCGGGTCAGTTTATGCCAGCCTTTATCAAAATAGCCGTGCTTGGGTCAATTGCCCATATGAGAGTGAGTGGTTTCCAACCATTTATGCATGTGCGACCCGTAATGAGAGCAGAGCTGCTATTTACATGTGGGTGACTGTCCGTAGCAAAATCCTCAAAGTGAATATATACTAATGCTGAGCACAAGTCTCTGCTATAGATGATCCAGCCCTGTAATGTGAGTAAATACTTTGAACCACGCAAAACCAAATCAAAAGTGTTTCACTCTGCGAATTTGATCATCCCAAAAGAGAGCCTAGAGAATCTTTTAAATATTTTCTCCTGAAGTATCATCAATGAGCTTGGACCTTTCAGACCCGAAAAAAAAAGCTTGGACCTTGTTAGAGCTGAATAGGCATTCTGCACCTATGACCAAATTCGCACTGATTAGTGGATCTCTGTAGCTACTGGAGGCCTTGAAATCATGAAGTCTACAGCCCATACTGAAGCACTCTTTTGCCAAGCCCAATAAAAATATAAAAACTCATGTGATCCTATTGGCGCGCACACCACACAATATATATATACCTATATGATTAATGCTAGTAATCTTCTCTTTAACCTTCTGAAATTACATGTAGGATGACTAAAAATGCATAGAGGGAGATGAGTAGACCAATTTAAAATTATAATCAATAAACAAAAAATAATCTTCAGTAGAATGATTGATATGGCTTATCAATCCTGAAACGTGCTGAGCATAAAATAAAGGAACACGCAGAGTATTATTTTACATGGTAAAACCCCATCTCTGGGAAAAATCTACGAGACTCCTTAGTTTAACACAAATCCACTATAAAACGATGATTACAAGAAATACTCATACACTTATTCTAGACACATTCTAGATAATATTTACTGACTTCTTCATAACTCAACAACTTTCTTAGGAATTTTAGATCCTCAAACAAAATATGGGAAAGCTGTATTTGAAAACAAGGAAGCACGCGATCTTTTTATACATAACACAGTCTCCTTTTCGCAAGGGAAGTCCACCAAGCCACGTGAACAATCTCTTTGAGATTTGATTCTTAGAATCCTATTTAGTTTTGTCAACTTATGCACTATCACAGATAGCTTTCACTCCTCCATGCCTAGAAGTGGCTCCACCACTGATGCTAGCGCAGGTGGTGACGTGTTGTTGACATAATTTCATTCTAAAAGCTACCATTCAAACTCATTGACCTAACATCACTTAATGTTGTATTGCTGGCCGGTGTGGTTTTCTTCGGGAATGTGTTAATGAGATTACTTTTCCATAATTTTTATATAAAGAGTAGTCGCTCTCTTTGCCGTCACCAAATTTGGCTCCAGAACGTCCTCGTTGAAAAAGTCTCGCCATCTCCCAAGTTCCAAGTTTTGCAATTTATTTAACACTAATCATCATCTTTGCACCCTTTTAATAATTCACATGAATATTATATCAAGATTGCGATCAATTATCATTCTTAATTAGATTATCATCTAATTCCCCTTACCAAAAAAAAATATAATCATTTAGTTCTATTGATTCATCATCTTCATTACTAGCTAATCACTAGGTGCCACCAAATCCTCTTCAAATCAGCATGAGAATAACTCAAAGTAAGCTACGTAATTCAAACGTTTATTAATTTAATTTAATTACAATATCTGATATATTGTCAATTTATAAAATTAAATTAAATAAATTGATACCCGAAGTTGTAAGTCCCTCCACTACTTAAAGCCCAGCATAAGCTACACTTTCCCTCAAAAAGCAATAGTCTAAGCCATTGCTCTATCTGTTCTTTTTTGGTCGAAGCTCTATCTGTTCTTTTTTTTTTTCAGTGACATATACGATCACCATGATCTCAAAGCCACATGCTGCCATCCTCTGCAGCCCTGGCATGGGCCATCTCATCCCTGTCATTGAGCTCGCAAAACGACTTGTCAACCACCACAACGTCACTGTCACCATCTTCGCAGTCCAGTCGAATACTTCCAAGGCCGAATCCGAGCTCCTCAAGGCAGCCACGAGCCCGAAATTCTGTGACATCATTGAACTCCCACTGCCGGAAATTTCCGGCCTCCTTGACCCCGACGCCGGTATCGTTACGAAACTCTCAGTCATGATGCGAGAAATACGACCTGCTTTTCGGTCGGCAATTCTGGCCAAGGACTCTCCTCGTCCCACCATCCTTATCGTGGACCTCTTTGGCACTGAATCTCTCCCCATTGGCGACGAGCTTGGAGTTCCCAAGTACGTTTACATTGCTTGCAATGCATGGTTCTTAGCGTTGACTATCTACGTGCCAATTCTTGATAAGGAAGTGGAAGGAGAGTACGTGGATCAGACTGAACCGCTGAGGATCCCGGGTTGCAGTCTGGTTCAGCCTGAAGAAGTGGTTGACCCGATGCTGAACCGGGCCGACCAACAATATTTGGAATACCTACGTATCGGGGGAGAAATGCCACGGAGTGATGGAATTTTGCTCAATATCTGGAAGGATTTGCAGCCCAAAACATTGGATGCATTCAAAGATGAGAGCCTCTTGGGTGGAGTGCTTAAGGTGCCGGTTTATCCTATTGGACCTTTGACAAGAGCGGTCCAATCAGCCGGTCCAACCGGTTTAGGGGACGGAGACTTGTTTAATTGGCTGGACAAGCAACCCAGTGAATCTGTGATATTTGTGTCATTAGGCAGCGGGGGAACTTTGAGCTATGAGCAAATGACAGAGATGGCGTGGGGTTTGGAGCTAAGCCAGCAAAGATTCATTTGGGTTGTTCGACCACCCACCTCAAAATGCGCAGATGCTGCTTTTTTCACTTCAGGTCATCTCCAATTTTGTAAATATATCATCAACAATTTTAGATGCTCATATTTTCATGAACATTGACACTCAATACCTTACTTCATCAGGGAAAGGAGATGATGACCCATCGAGCTATTTGCCCGAAGGGTTTTTGACCCGAACCCGAGAGATTGGGTTGGTTGTGCCTATTTGGGCTCCCCAAGTGGACATCTTAAGCCATCCATCAATAGGAGGGTTTTTCTCACACTGCGGCTGGAATTCAACCCTAGAGAGCATCATCAATGGAGTGCCGATGATCGTGTGGCCTCTCTACGCAGAGCAGAGGATGAACGCCACGTTGTTGAGTGATGAGCTTGGCGTGGCCTTGAGGTCTAAAGTTCCTCCATGGAAGGGAGTGGTTGAAAGGGAGGAGATAAAGAGAATGGTGAGAAAGATAATGGTGGAGGAAGATGGGTTTGCAATAAGGGGTAAGGTCAACGAGCTAAAACTGAGTGCAATCAAAGCTTTGAGCCAAGGTGGTTCTTCATATAATGCACTGTCTGAAGTGGCAAGTAAAACTAAATGAGCATTAATTATGCTCGTGATGGAGGATGAGAAATGGGTTAATTCTGGTGGAAACTATTAAATAAATAAAGTGGCTCGAAGAGTTTCTGGTAAGCGTGAGCATGACACGAGATGGTAAAGTGGGTAGGCAGATAAACCTACTCACGTAGCATATATTCCTTTGCCAAAATGAATATGTAAAGAAATTTTCTTTTGTCCCATGGTTCACGAACTTCACGGACTCGCTGGAATGTAGTTTTGTGAGACCCACACCCCACACCCCACACCCCACACAGACAGACAATTGAATAAGTGATGGAGCCTGGAGCCTGGAGCCTGGAGCCTGGAGCCCTCCACAATTGGATAAGTCTCTCTCTACATCTTGTAAAATTATTTATAATATCCTGTTAAGCTACTTGTCTTTGTTTCATGGGTGGGCCCTCCACAATTATAATTTGATGCAACTTAATTGCTAATATCAGCATCACTGATGCATCATTTTACTAATATTTTATTTCTCCAGAAAGTGATGTTACACTGAAATAATAATTACGAAAGTTAATTTGATCTTCGAAATTTGTCTCGACTATACCAAGTCAAGTAGGGTTTGATCATTTGGATAAACACAAAAACATTCAAATTAGACAACCAGTTCATAATAGTAGTCATTAATCAGACAAATTAGGTGGTGTAGAAAAGAAGAAAATATGTTCAATTTCATATGGAAAAAGTCAACAACAGTCATGGTTTTAAGCACGGTCCACTTTGATGCCTTTCGTTTTACGTTGCTCCAAATTACTTTTAATTAATTGAGAAGGCATTATGCATTGAGAATACATATGGGACCTGACATGATTGTTATGCCTCCTCCTTACTTAGGTCCAATTTAGGATTGTTATCACTTTATATATATATATATATATTTATATATTTATTTATTTATTTATATTGTGCTATGAAAACAACCCAATGTAAAGTAAAGCAGTTATATGTTTGATAAATAATATTCTTAAAGTGTTGTTAGTATAAAAAAAGGTGTCAAAACTATTTGATAAATTTTAATATAAAATTATTGTAACTGTGAATAATGACTAAAATGAACATAATGTTGAAAGTATCATGTGCTAACCATGTGGTAGTGGTGATGGGGTGCGGGAGATGGAGGAGAGGGTATAGAACGGAAGGAGTCAAAACCTCAATTTGACTAATAAGAAACCCTAGAATATCCTTAGCTTTTTGTGGGAAACCAAAAGGCAATCTTCTTTTTTCTTAATTATCTTTATTTCCGTTTTCCTACAATATTATTACCCTTACATCTTCGAGCCGATTTGCTGCCTCTAATTTGGTGTCCTCTTAGTGAGTGTCCCTGTCTTTTATTTGGCAAACAAATTTAAATTTTAAAAAAAAAAACCCCCAATTACCAAGGGAGCGTATGCATCCCTAATAACTCTATGTAGTGGACAAGATCAATTCCTGCACTAAAGATAAAAAATAAAACATTTCTCATTGATCAACAACACATATATAAATAATTTAAATACATAATCTCCCCTTCCCCTCTCCCCCATGCCTCTCCTCTCATCTCCTATGCCCCTCGTCCTCCCCTATTCCAATCCTCCCCTGGGCTTTTACCAGCTTTTGGCCGGCTTGTGATGTCTGGTCATTTTGGCTAGGTTGTGTGGTAGCTTTTGTTTTCTTTGTGCTTCTTCATTTGGAAGATTTGAAGTTCTTGCTTTAGATTTACTTGGTGACGATGAAGGTGACAAAGCAACTTTTATTTCCTGTTGTGTAATGTAATTTTTGTGTTGTAATAAGTGCATAATTTTTTTTTGAGTTTGGTGCGTGTTTGTAGTTTCTACTTGTAGTATCTCCTTATGAGAGTTTAGAGGTTATAGTAGTAGGTTTGTGCATTGAGGTCGTTGTTTGGTTTTTCCAGGCTTTTGGTGTTTATGCCAAAATTTATTTAGCCTTGTGTGGCTATAAATGGAGGTATGCTAGTGTATGAGCTTGATGTTGTCGTTAGACCCCTCCATATTTGTATGCTTTGTGGTTAAGTGTATTTGTATTGGCACTTCGGGCTATTGTATTTATATTGATGTTGGCGACCTTTAGGCCTAAATTATGAATGCAATCTTTCGACTTTAAGAAGAAAAAAGTTAAAATAATAACACACATATATAAGCTATTACACAGACCAATGGTTTATGAGGAATTGGAGATTTTGACTGCGCAAAGCACAATGTGATCAACAAGAAGATGGCCAAGTTAAAGTCATAAAATTATATATCCTGTCCTCATAATAATAATAATTTTTTAAAAAGGCCATTTAATTATCGTAGTGAAATGGATCTATGTCTAGATGAGGATGACTGATTTCATTTTTTACGGATTTTTGTTATTTGATTGTAGCATATGATTATGACCTATTTTTTGTTTGTTTGTTACATAATTCAAATTAAGATCTAATATTTTATTTGTTTGACCATGGATTAGTTTGCAAAGATGAAAGAAATAAACGAAAATAATGGGCAAGGTCAGCCACATGGCACATGGGGAGGTCTGCATTATGAGTCTCCAAACCAAGATTGCATATATGATATAATGGAAATGATGCTAGCTAGGTTTTTTTTTATATTTAAATTATCTGAGATCTAACCGCTATTACAAGTTTACCAACCCATTATTTTATATATATATTTTCTTAAAAAACTTAGGGCTCGTTTGGTACACAGGATTGTCTTGGCATGGACTATGCTTAGGGACTGTCTTGGCTTGGCTTGGCTTGGTCTAAGTTGGATAACACTTATCCTGCATTTGGTGTACGCTTGGACTAGGACTAGATTTTTTTATTTTTTCAAAACTATCTATGTATATGTATATATGTATAAATACATATATTATGTATGTGTACATATGTATTTTATAATATATATGACATGTATGTGTATATACATGTATATATGTATATTATAAATAATATAAACATATGTATGTATATATATGTACACATACATGTATATATTATAAAATACATATATATATATATATGTATGTATTATACCCATGTATATAT